GCAAAAACCCCTAAGGCAAGAAGAGCTTGGAGTGACATATTTCAAGCCCTAAAGGAAAAAAAACCTCCAAACCAGATTAATGTACCGTGCACAACTATCTTTCAAAATTGATGGAGAAATAAGATCCTTTCATGACAAAGAACACCTGAGGAACTCCATGAATACCAAACCAGCACTTCAAATTTTTTTTTCAATATACTAGGAAAAGACAGTGAGAATCCCAACCCGAGGAATCCCAGAAGAATGAAACCGTAGGGCATGACAAGAAATTAAATGCAAAGGGGGAGAATCCAATGAAAAAGAAAAAGTCATGACAAGGTTAAGCCAATACATATCAGTTATAACCACCAATGTTAATGGTCTCAATTCATCAATCAAAAGAAATAGAGCGGCAGAATGGGTGAAGAAGCAAGATCCAACAATATGCTTCATACTAGAAACATACTTAATTAAAAAAAAAAACTCAGAGACTTAAAGTTAAAGGGTAGAAAACAATATTCCATGCAACAGGCACACACCCCCCCCAAAAAAAGCAGGAGTAGCTATCCTCTTTGCACATCAAATGGATTTCAAAAAACACTGATTAAGCGAGACAAAGAAGGACATTACATCCTTGTAAAGGGAACAATCCAAGAAGAAGAGATGACAATCATAAATATATATACACCAAACACTAGTGTGCCCAACTATATAAAACAAATACTAGCAGACATGGAAAATCAAATAAGCACTAATACAATAGTAGTGGGGGACCTCAACACCCCACTGTCACAAATAGATCAACTAGACAAAATTAAACAATGAAACACTAAAACTCTATCAAATTCTGGAACAAATGAACTTAAAAGATATTTACAGTGTTCCACCCCACAAAATCAGAATACACATTCTTTTTGGTTGCACACAGGTTGTTCACAAAAATAGACCACACACTCGCTCACAGAACCTGTTTAAGTAAGTGCAAAGCAACTGAAGTTATCCCCTCTATATTATCAGACCAAAGTTTGATGAAATTGGATATCAATAGCAAAAGAAACTGCAAGAATTTCCTAAAAAAATGGAAACTGAACATTACACTGCAGAAAAACCAATGGGGCACAGAGCAAACTAAAGAAGAAATCAGACTGTTTCTACAATTAAATGACAGTGCCAATACAACATATCAGAATCTATGTGACACATGAAAGAGTCTTGCCAGGGAAATTCATAGCAGTGAATACACATATTAGGAAAACAGAGCAAGCTCAATAAAACAACCTGATGCTGAACCTCAAGCTTCAAGCAAAATAAGAGCAGGATAAACCCAAAGGGCATACAAGGGAGGAAATTATAAAGATCAGAGCTGAAATCAATGCAATGGAAACTAAAAGAACAATACAAAAAATCAATGAAGTAAAGAGTTGGTTCTTCAAAACAATAAACAAAATTGAAAAACCCTTAGCCAAACTTATCAAAAAAATGAAAGAAAAGGCCCAAATCAATGCAATTAAGAATAAAAAAAAGGTGAAATAACAATGGACCGAGCAGAAATCCAGAGGATCGTCAATATCTACTTTGAGAACCTATACGCCAATAAGATGGAAAACACAGAAGACATGGACAGACTCCTAGACACGTATGAATTAACAAAGTTGAACAAAGATGATCTAAAAATTTTAAATGACACAATATCAATCAACAAAATTGAAAATGTAATTAAATACTTAGCAACTAAGAAGAGCCCAGGTCCTAATGGTTTCACTGCTGAATTCTACAAGACATTTAGAGAGGATCTACTGCCACTACTGTTTAAACTCTTCAATGAAATTGCAAGGGTAGCAACACTCCCAAAATCATTCCTGGAAGCAATCATCACCTTGATGCCCAAAGCAGAGAAAGTCCCAAGTGAAAAAGAGAAATATCGGCCAAGCTCACTAATAAACACAGATGCAAAAATCCTTAATAAGATCCTGGCAAATAGAATGCAGAAGATCATCAAGAAGATCATACACCCTGACCAAGTGTGATTTATCCCAGGGATTCAGGGATGGTTGAACATATGCAAATCAATAAATGTAATATACTATATTAATAGATCCAGGGGAAAAAAAACATATGATCATCTCAATAGATGCAGAAAAAGGATTTGACAAAATCCAACACACATTTATGATAAAAACCCTACAAAAAATTGGAATACACAGTTTCTACCTCAATCTGAAAAAAGCCATCAATGAAAAACCAACAGCCGATATCATGCTAAATGGTCAAAAACTGAAATCCTTCACTCTAAAATCAGGAACAAGACAAGGATGTCCACCATCACCACTCTTGTTCAATATAGTTTTGGAAACATTAGACACAGCAATTAGACAAGAGAAATAAATGAAAGGAATAAAGATAGGAAATGAAGAACTCGAATTGTCATTATTTGCAGATGACATGATACTTTATATAGAAGATCCCAAGAACTCCACCAGAAGTCTACTAGACTTAATAACCAAATTCAGTAAAGTAGCTGGATAAAAGGTCAATACAAGAATCAATAGCTTTTCATTACACAAACAACAGACTCACTGATAAATGGTGCAATTCCTTTCAAAATAGCATCCAAAAAACTGAAATACCTAGGAATCACCCCAATGAAAGAAATCAAAGACCTCTACTCTGAAAACTACAGGACTCTAAAAAAAGAGATAAAAGATGATATCAGAAAATGGAAATACATCCCTTTCTCCTGGGTAGGAAGAACAAACCTAGTGATATTGGCCATACTTCCAAAACTACTACATGGATTCCATGCAATCCCAATTGAAATTCCAGCAGCGTACTTCACAGATTGAGAAAATAATCCAAAAATTCATTTGGAACAAGAAAAGTCCTAGAATGACAAAAGCAATTCTAGACAATACAGATAAGATGGGGGTATCACAGTTCCCAACTTGAAACTGTACTACAAAGCTACTGTGATACAAATAGCATGGTACTGGCAAAGAAACAGACCCAAGGACCAGTGGAACAGATTAGAAAAAACAGAAACAAGCCCAGACACACCCAGCCACCTCATCTTAGACAAAAGAGCCAAACACCCCCACTGGAGGAAAGATAGCCTCTTTAATAAATGGTGCTGGAAAAATTGGGTTTCAACTTGCCAAAGATTAAAACTCGACCTATATCCTCGCCATGCACGAAACTAAAATCAAAATGGATTAAAGATCTAAATATTAAAACAGAAACCCTGAACTGGCTGGAACAGAGGTTAGGTAGAACTCTGGAAGACACTGGCTTAGGAAAAGATTTTAACTAGCACGAACAACCAAAAACTGCGATCTCTTGTTAAAAAGCTTCTGCACTGCAAGAGAAACCACCAACAGTGTGAAGAGACAACCCACAATGTGGGAAAAAATTTTCACCAACAGTTCCTCAGAAAAAGGTGTACTATCTAGAATCTATAAATAACTTAAACAAATCAGACCTCCCAAATTTAAAGACCCAATCCAAAAATGGGCATCTGAAATCAACAGACATTTTTCACACAAAGAAGTAGACATGCAAATAAACATATGAAAAAATGTTCAACATCACTGGTCATTGGAGAGATGCAAATGAAAACAACACTGAGATTGCACCTCACCCCAGAAAGAATGGCTGCTATCATGAAATCAACCAACAACAATTGCTGGCGGGGCTATGGGGAAAGAGGAACCCTCCTCCACTGCTGGTGGGAGTGTAGACTGGTGCAACCACTGTGGAAATCAGCATGGAGATTTCTCAAAGAACTAGGATTGGAAGTCCCGTTTGACCCAGCTATTCCCCTGCGGGGTATCTTCCCAAAAGAATTAAAAGAATCATACCACAGTGATATATGTCCACTCATGTTCATAGCAGCACAATTTGTAGTAGCTAAAACTTGGAAACAGCCCAATTGCCCATCAACTGGAGACTGGATAAAGAAAATGTTTTTTTTTATATAAAATGGAGTACTACTCAGCTATAAAGAAGGAGAGATTAGAGACATTTAGAGCTAAATGAATGCACACTGAGTCAATACTCTTAAGTGAAATAAATAGGACACAGATGTGTAAATACCAAATAGTTTATCTAGTGTGAGAAACTGAAAGTGCAAATAAGGACTAAAAGGTATAATAGATAATGTGAAATAATACGAAAATGCCAAAGGGGAAGAGGCAGTGGGGGGGTAGGGGAAAGGAAAGAAGGGAAAGGAATTAGTATGAGAAAATGGAGAAAATTGAAACAAAGTCTTTGTAAATAGGGAGGAGGGAGGGGTTGAAGGGAGGACAGGGGAATGGGGAAAAAAATAAAAACCAAGAGAGATTATGTGAAGATGCAAATTCCCAATGATGAATGTCAACATATTATATACCTAAAATGTACCAATAAAATTAATAAAATATTTTATAATTGCAAAACAAAAAATAAACAATAAGAAATAATGAGATAGACTTTTACCATATGGGATGAGAAGCAGGAGATGGAGATAGTCAGGAGGGAGGAGAGGGAAATGAGATTTTATAAAGGAAGAAATTTTTAAGTGTTCTCTATGTGCTCCAAATTCCTATAAGCAATGTGTTCATTATGTATTACAAACATGTATTACATACATATGGAAGGACTCAAGATACGTAAGGAAGAGCGAGGGAGGAAAAGGAAAGGGGATAAAAGTGGTTTAAGATATATCATGTACATTTACCAATTCCCCATGATGAATGTAGATGAATGTAATCATTATACATTACACATATGCACCAATAAATATTTTAAAAATTTAAAAATTAAAGTGAGATTTGTAGCTATAGGATAAAACAAACAAAAATGTAACAAAAATTTAAAAAAAGAAAATCTGGCAGACCTAGTTAGGAACCAAATGCCTCAATACTGGACAGTAATCAAACAAATTAATGAACTTTGTGTTAGTACTGAAGATTCTAACTTTGTGGCTGATATGGTATAATATTTATATTTAATTCACTCCTTTGTTCTTTTCTAACAGTGATTCTTACCTTTACAACAGAGGCACCAGCTCTGGAGAGTGGACTATGAATCTGGGCTGCAGCCATGTTGGCAATAGTATTGAGATGGTTCATCTGACTCATTGCCATGGCAACTGATGCAGGAGGTAAGCTGACTGGAAGTAGAGGATGAGGCATCATCATAAATGGCAGATCCAGTCCTAAAAGAGACAGTGTGCATGTTAATCTTGTAACATTATGATGCTGTGAAGTTATTTTTTTTAGTTACCTAACTTAATTTTTATTTCCTTTTCTTAAAATCAAATATTATTGTATCCTAGTGTCTTATTGGGCCATAAGATGCAATCTTTTTACCCAGAAAAACAAATAAAAATATTTAAAGCAAACAGCACTATTTAACAATTGAGAAGTAATTTTCTTTTTAATCATCATAATATATTGATTTTTCACAGTATCTGGATTTGAGGAAGGATATAGAATATGTAACCTTCAAAATAACTGTATAAAATACTTGAAATATACTATACTGTCTTGGATATAAATCACTAAAATGACTGTATAGTTGTGGTGTGGAGTATTTGTCAATAGAGAATAAATTACCTATCAAAAAACCATGGTATTTTTCATTTTAATAATAAATATCAGTATTGGTGACTAGTATCAAGAATTCCATGTCTTCATATGAAAGTTGAAATAATTTTCAAATAGTTTAAATATCTTAAAGTGTATCTTTCAAGTATTATCAGCATTCCATTTGTGGTGACCACAGAAATGTCATTATATAAAAGATAGCAAGTTTAGGTAGTTGTCTACTTCACCCTCAGGAGGTTGGGATTTGGGAGAGGAAATATCTTTGAACAAAGGCTATAGAAACATAACCTAACTTTACAGATGATTATAAGTAAACCATAGCAATTTACAACATTGTTAACAATTATTTCTACAATAGTCATGCTTTATATAGGACATTACCCTAGAAATCAGTAATCTTTAACACATATTCTTGAGTATAATGTTTCCAAATTTTATAGGCTACAGAAATTCTATTATGGGGAACATTGATGTGGGTTCTACACATACTTATCAACTATTAATAATATCTCATTTTTCTCATTCCTTTTTTCTTGCTTCCTGAATTACTACATAAAGAAAACAAAGAATATATGAGAAGTGTTTTCAGAGGCTACCTAAGTCTCATTACTCAAAATAACAATTGAAGTAATACAAACACTCAAAACACTTATTTTTAGTACAATTTTCTCCCAACCCCCTGTTTCATTCTCTTAGCAGTGGGTTTCACATATTGGTTTTTTTTTTTTTGGTACCCGGGATCGAACTTGGGTCCTTGCGCTTGCGCAGCAGGCGGCAAAACCACTGAGCTAAATCCCCAGCCCTCACGTATTGGTTTTTAACTTTAAAAGAAATCCAATTTAAATGGAAACTAGAATGTGAAAATGGTGCTAATTTATTTGAGGTTCACATCTTCATTTCAACTATGATGGTTAATTTAAAGCCATAAGCCATAACAAGGAAGTGCAAAAGGACAAAATATGATAAAATATACTAGATAGGACAGATCTCATACAATACTAAAGTATTTCATTTAAAGAAATTACTAAATAAAAAAAGAAATTACTAAGTAAAGAACACATTCAATGTTCAATGTCATCAATGTTTCTGATAAAGATAACCACAAAATATAGTTATCAGAGTTACACGAGGACCAAAAGAAGCCTAGAAATTTAAATTCTGTGTAGAACACACACAAAAAATAGAATTAAGAAATTTGTTCTTTACTCCTTAAGATTCAATAATTCAACAGAATATCAATAAAACTCCCTTATCAGTGTTCACTTATGACTCACTATGTCTAAATGCATTTTAGGAGAAATCTACCAAATCAAATGTATCAGCAATGAAAGATTTTTCTTGGGATTATTAACTTACAGAAACTTCAATGCAATGCTTATGACAGAACTCAGTACGTCCTTCTCCACCATTTAATTTTTATTTATTTTACTTTTTCCTTCAGCAAAAGCCAAAGTAAGTCTTTATTAGTGTTAATAATGTTCATCTAACCGTTTATCAGCTGTACAATCTGGTGAAGTAGTTGCCTCTTAGGTTATTTGTATACATTTATAAATAAATTAACAAACTATAATTATATGTATTTATGGATACAAATTTATATTTTAATATACACATAGAATGTAGAATAGCTAAGTATATATAACTAATTAACATATACATTCCCTCAAATAGTTATCATTTTGCACAGCATTATTCTAAGTGAAATGAGACAATCACAGTAAGACAAATACTACATATTTTTACTTATATGTGGAATCTAAACTTTTTCAATTGGATGTTAGTTTTCAATTAATCATGCAAAATTAGATACACATGTATTTTATACTTTACCCTTCATATATCTTATACAATGGAATATTTTATACTAAGTATTAAATTAATCATTGTTTATCTTTCCCCTAAAACCTTCACATTATGCTCAACATAATAATAATTATCAATGATCAATTATATATGTCACACTAGATTTCTATACACTACAAACCCAAGATACTCTAGAACTTTAATTCTTCTTTGTATACACAGTATTTTAGTCACAAACTGATCAAATCCTACATGAAAATTAGCCACTAGTGTCTCTATTTGTCATTCAAATGTTTAAATAAACTTTTGTTCAATTTATGCTTCCCTTACCAATGTAAAAACATTCCTTCATTCTCCAAATATTTTCAGCATCATGCAGACACTATCTGGCCATATCAAGAAATATGCCTACTTATAATCCAATTTACATGCAAACAAAATGTAAACTCCAAACAATTTAATAAGCACACTGCCAGTTTTAAAATATAATTCATCAAATATTTCAAATAGCCATGAAGGACTTAAAAGTCACACTTTCATATTATGATCTAAAATATATGTTAATTGGTTTTAATGTCTGAGAATGTAAGCTAATAGTTACATTATAGGCCAGATTCACAGTGACTCCACATGAGTTTCACAAGCAAAAGGTATGCAGATGTTGAAATATATAAGTCAAATTTTCCCAATACTGAAAAACATTAAGTTAAAAGCCATCAATATTACACAACACTCCAACAATCTGGCTCACTTCTTCTACTGCCAGATATGTACATAGACTTTTAATACTATGGTAATTAGGACAAATCTTTTTTAAAAAATCACCAAATGAGTCATCTCATTCTTATCAACTTCAAGAACATTACACAAACTACTAAAAGCATCTTTTCTAATGCAAATTAGTAGTCCAACAACTCCAAAAATTTTTATGGCACCACTTCTTCCTAGCTGTGAAAAGTACAAATTTCAGTAATTCCCTAGTTGTCCTCCTAAATCTCACATTTATTTGATTTCCAAGTCATATTGAACTTTGCAATACTTTGGCATTTCTACAATGAGTGACAGAAAAGAATCCCCTCAGTACCAGTACCATGTCTTCCTGTTTAGTCTTCTTATATCTTTTTTTGACTCTTTAACATCAATCTAAAGACTTCCAATAACTACTTACTTCCCCTTAGAATAACATACAAGATCTTAGATTCCATCCATAATTATATTTCTATTTTTGATATCATATTATATTCCCATATGTATTCTAAATTCTACCTTCACCAGACTCTTTGTAGTTCTCTACTCTTTTAACTCACCTTAATATTCCCACATGATAATGCTTCTTTCTAGATTCTATTGCTCTGGCCCAATTTATTTATTTGCCTAGGCTTAAATTTCCCTTCCTTCTTAAAAATTAATACACAATTTTAGAGTAACATTTTTAGAGCTGTATCAAGTTCATAGAAAAAAATGAGCAGAAATTTCCTTATACAATATCTCTACTAAGCCAACATACACAATTGCACCACTTAAGTTATATTACTGTGGTATATTGACACTATTGAGAAAATAAGATTGAAATATTTTATGAACTACACTCCACACTTTACATTACAGTTTACTATCTGTGTTGTAGACATCTATGGGCTTTCATAAATGCATATATCACATATCCACTATTACAGTGTCATACAGACTATTTTCATTACATTAAAAATCCTCTATTCTGTACCTGTTAATCCTTCTCTTCTGCAACCTCTGACAACTACTGATCTTTTCACTGTATGTGTAGATTTTCTTTTTCCTGGATGATATGTAGTTTAAATAATACATTATTTAGTATTTTCAGACTGCTTTTTTCACTTAGCAACAGTATTTAAAATTTATCCAATTATTTTCAAAGCTTTATAGCTCATTTGTCTATACTACTAAATCCTGTTCCATGGAATATATGTGCCATCAGTGGTTTATCCATTCACCTATTACAGGACATCACTTTTCCTTCTAATTTTAAGCAATTATGAATACAATTACTATACATTATAATGTGCTGGTATTTGTGTGAGCACCTTTTAAATTCATTTGGTAAACAGGGAAAACTCTGTTTAGTTTGGTAATAATTAATAAATTTTCTTCTAAAATAGCTATAGCATTTTACATTTCACACTACCAATGAATTAAAATGTATTCTTTCTCCTCATCCTTGCCAGCAATTGTTGACAAAACTTTGAATTTCAATTATTCCAATAGACATGTATGGGTATCTCATTATTGTTTTAATTCATAATTCCCTAATTACATATGATGTCAAACATATTTTCATATGTTTATTTGTCATCCATATCTCTTCTTTTATAAGGTGTCTGTTCGGGTCTTCTCAATTTTAATTGGATTTTTTATTCCTTTTTGTTGAGTTTAGGGTATATCAGCTTTATCATACATGTGGTTTATAAAAAGTTATTCAAGCACTATGGCATGTCTTTTCATTTCTTTACTAATGTGTTCTCCAAAGTATGTTTAAATTTTAATGAAGCTCATCTTATTATTTTTCTTTTAATGGTCATACTTAGAGACATTGTCATGACCCAAGTCACTTGCATTTTCTATATTTTTCTTTTGCTTAAATTCTTTTATTGATACATTTTAGGTATACAATATGTTTACATTTATCATTGGGTACTTGTATGGAGATACTTCAAAGAACTAGGACCAGAGGTCCCATTTGACCCAGCTATTCCCCTGCTGGGTATATTCTCAAAAGAATTAAAAGAATCATACCACAGCAATATATGTGTGCCCATGTTTGTAGTGGCAC